AAGACTTTTATACAAAAAATACAAACATTAAATAAACAAAAGGAAAATAATTAAAACTGGTCAAAATATCACTTAACTTAATCAGCTGACCACAAGGGTATACGTATGTACATACATATTTCATGCAGTAGATTGTCTTAATATGGACGGTGGTGTTATTTTTTTCACCGACACTGTACGCCTGTACATATGTATTTAGTGCGTATTTTTTGATCATTTTCATTTTAGCCACCATGTTGCCAAAATTTTGAGCAACTGAATTCAACTAAAAATAATTGCGAAGTGTTGCATAGAAAAAATGCATTTCTGAAATGAGGACGCAGACACAATGAAATGCTGGTTTAAAATCAAATGGTGCTACAAATGCTATCTAAAAATTGCATGTAAAACTGCTACTTAAAAGTGTTTATTTTTCAACACGAATCTGTGCAAATATACGCATAAGATGTTAAAGGTTTGATTTTGAATATTAGATGAAATATATACATACATGAAATGTTTAGAATTACTAAAATTTTGAAAGTAATAATACATTTCCTACTATTAATGAAACTTAAGTGCTCATATTCACTCAATTTTAAACACTTTACGTGTAATTTTGCGCTACGCAACAAATTCGGTATGTAAAAATTAACAGGCGGAGTTTAATTTTATCACACGTGCATTCATTAAGAGAGGAAACTGGTTAATTTTGGTGAAAATTTGTTGATTTTTGTAATTTTTGTACAACGTTTGAAATGTGGTTTGTTATATAATGAGCTGGGCTTTTATAAAAAAACTAATAAACCAAATCTCAAAAATTATTTAAAAAAAATCGGCTTTTTTGACGGTTAGTGCTCCATATATGTAAGCGCTCTGCGGAATAATACTGTCGATATGGTGTCTGGAGTTGGACTGGAGATAGGGATAGGGCAAACGATGTTTTTGAAACATCTATAATACCGGTTTAAAATTCGTTGCTTGCCATCAATGTTTACAATTTTCTAATGTCGCTAAATAGACGATACAACGATGTCAGTTTCAACGATGTTTTGAACATCGAAGTCACTGTGACGCAGGCATGCATTTGATTCAACTGACCCATTATATTTCTAAACAAATTATAAGTGATCATGAATTCTTATATTTTCAGTCTTTGGAGTCCAGTTTTGAGATGCAAACCTCTTTCAAAAGTACCGACCACCCGTCTGCGACAAGTATGTATATTCCTAATAAACATTGGGCTTGGTTAGCAATTCGAAAATGATTGGAAAACCAATCTTTTTTTCGAGTCTTACCTTCGATAACGAATGTGCAATAGGTTAGTATTCGATTCGAGAACTAAGCCATTCTCCAGCAAAACGGCACCTTCGTTATCCAATGTATTTTGCCTTCGTTAGGAATTCGAAATCCAGCCCATTATCGAATTGAAATTTTATTGTGAGAGAGCGATTGTCTTATAGTATCCTTCGAGAATGGGCTGGATTTCACTTTCTCTCTTGTTACTATGGTTTTATTTTTTTTTTTCGAACCCATTTCGAGTGTATTTCAAATTTACTCTGAACGTTGGAAAACCAAGGTTGGTTATGAGTTCGTTCACAGTTCGATATGCACATTGGATATCGAAGGTGCTTTTCGAACGTTCCCCAAAATGTTTATAGGGATGCTATAGACAGAAAATACTCTGTATGCAGGCTCTTAGAAATCAGTGCTTGTAAATTTGGGACCCAGCGACCTTAATTTTCCACCCTGGTGTGCACGTATGTATGTAGGTAGTGAGAGGTCGCCACAATCAACGCAGCCATATCAACTTTCAAACATGATGCCAACCACATAGTAAAAACGAAGTACCTATGTATGTATGTACATGTGTTCAAACAACGTTTCATACGCATACCAGCCAGCAAAGAAATGCATATCTTCGTTTAAAGCGCAAAACCGGCTATCGTCGTTTTGCAAAACCGCGTAACTGACATTTGTGCCAAAAATTAGATTTGCTCATAGGAAGCTCCAGGCATAAGGCCTTATCTATACATACCCAAAAATGATAGAATACATCGTGATACATACCAATATATCGATATAAGACCATATACTGCAAAATAGAAGCATAGTTGCAATGCCGTTGATCAAGAGTAGCATATATTTTTACACTCTCCTGTCAAATCTTGGTGACCTTACATACGCGGTATTGTACTTTAAACGACGATAGTATATATTAATTCGAAAATCGAAAAAGTGCGCAATTTTGCTATGCTCCGTGAAAAACTCATATATGTACATACATATGTATGCATGTTTGCACAAAGGCGCCACTATATTTACCTTAGTGTATGTGACAATACAAATGTAAACAATTTTCCCAACTGTTAAAATATAACAACAACAAATACTTGTATGCTGTTTTACCTTATTTCCCTCCGACCGATATTATTTTCAACTATTTCCAACCAAAATTGCCGTGCTATAACTTTTATTCGAAAATCTTATCACTGATTAATTGAGGCTCAGTAACTGATTTCAACCCCGTATGTATGTACATATGTAACATAATGTTGTACATACATATGTATATATGTTTTAAATACAATTTTATTCTAATACTTTTCCTTACTAAGTTTCATTTGAGTAAAGTTAAGAATCTGAACGTCGCAAAAATCAAAAAAAACGTATGGACGTCGATAGAGGTTTTTGAGTCAAGTATAACGGTATAATTTGTTTGGGGCGGAAATTACAACTACGGTAGTTACGAAAGGTCGAAAGTCAAATCCAAAGGTTTCAAATTCAAATATCTCGAGATCCATCGCACGGATTCTCTCTCTTGAGAGCTGCATACTGGCCTTAAGGCCCACAAAACGGCCAAGAAAAAATTGCCACTATTTCGAGGAATTTTCACATCAATTGATGGAATGGGCATATATTTCTGTTGCAAGCATGGGTTTCCTTGTGCTTCTTTTTCACCAAAAAAAAATTAGAAAACCGTTGTAGAAAGAATAGCAAATTTCTTAAGAACTGCGTACTGCCTTAAGCCCTGTATGCAGCTCTCAAGAAAACGGTCAAGAAAAAATTGCCATTATTTCGCGTGTGTGTCCAAGGAATTTTGACATCTTTGATACTTCACAGCCTGTTGCCTCACTCTTTCCTCAAGAAATAATGGAACGGGCATATATTTCTGTTGCAAACCTGGGTTGCCTTGTGCTCTTTTTTCACAAAAAACTTTAGAAAACCGAAGCATAGTAAATTCTTAAGAACTGCGTCCTGCCTCAAGGAAATTTGACTCAAGAAAATTCCTTAGCCATTTCTTGTACGTCATTTTATATGGAATTTTGCTTTTCTTGAGAGCTGCATACAGGCCTTTAAGAAAAATTTTACACAAGAAAATTTCTGAACCATTTCGTGTGCGTCATTTCATATGGAGTTTGAGTTTTTGCTTTTCTTAAGGGCTGCATACTGGTCTTTAAATATGTATAATTAATAAGGCAATTTTTAAAGAAAAATGTGTTTGTTCAAAATTATTTGTTTTTTTTTTTTTATTTATATAAATTAGATTTTTGCTAAAACTATAAAAGATATATAACATTTACATATATATCCAATTAGAGCGGCTCACATTTCCTATTAAATGACTGCAAAATTTTTAGAATCCGTGCGATGGTTTTCGAGATTTCCGGATTTGAAAAAGCGCTGCATTTGACCTTTTCTAATTACCGTAGTTTTCATTTTCGCCCCAAAAAATTATTCCGTTATATTTGCCCCAAAAACTTATCGAACTCGATTTTTTTTGTAATTTTCCCACCGTTCTGATTCTTAACTTGTTCCTTCATTTGTTGGTATGGATCAATGGTAAAATTATAAATATGTGAATTAATTAAACAGCTTTCTCGCTTTATTCGCTTGACAATCAGTGTTGCCGTTTTGATACATAAGTATCCAATTGGATACATTTTCGCCTTAAATTTTGAGGGATACTTCGATTTTTCCTCAGTGTAAATTTGGATACCTTTGCGAATAAGTATTCGTAAGTTGAAGGAAATGTTTTTTATTTATGTACGAGCTATTATCATGTTTTTAACAGTCGGCTGCTTCATCCTCCAAGCAAGAAATTTTCCTTAATTCTTGTCACTTTGAAAAATTAATTTTTTAGCTACTTAAACGTGCATTTAATAACACCAAGTAGTGTGCAAATTTTAAAAAGATTTCAGACCTATAGCAGTTAACTGCAAAGCGAAAAATTCAACTTTTACATCCCGAGCAACACTTTTCTTAGCATTCAAAGGAAATTGACGACCATGCCGATGACTAATTTTCAACAAGTTATATATCGTTAAGCGGGAGTTCAAACAATCCCGTAAATCGTTCCCACGACAGTCGGGTCTACGTAACCGGAACGATCCACATTTATATCTGGCCAAGGACTGTCACTCCAGCAACACTCCCCAAAATCTCTTTGGGGAATTTGTATGCTGTTACAACAACAACAACAATCCCAAGACGGAAAGAAAGATAATGGACAAAAAATGCCGTTATTACTTCACCTGGTATAAGCGTTCAGTTCGTTAATGCATTACTGCGGCATTACTGCAAAAACCCTTTAGTTCTAAACTATAATTGATGGAAATGTCCAGCAGCGTACCCACTGTTAAATTGGTTTTAAGGCCTTTCTATGATCTATAGTTTATGAATAAAAGTTTATTTATTTGCAGTAATATTGCGGGTTGCATTTACAAACTGACCCTATAACGGAAGGTTGCTTTCCTGAGAAAAAAACAAGGGTTGTATGGCAATACTGTTTCAACCCCCGCCGTTTCGTTGCTGCTTTGTTCCATTTTTGCGGTTGGCCGCTGCCGCTGCTATAAGGCTGAAGCGTCAACGTTGACAGCAAAAGTAGTGCCCCTACAACAACAACAGCATAAGCTGAATTTTGCCAAGCAGAAATAAACGCCAAGTAGGTAAATTATAATTAATTACTATTGTACTTAATATGTACCTAAATCTATAAATTAATGTAAAGTCGAACTTACGTGGTGGTTTTTATAGTGTATGTATGTTTTATATATGTAAATGTATGGTTTTTATTGGCGAGTTTATAATGTACTTCTGCACTTCAAGTCTGCAGCTACCACTTCGTTTACAACGTTTTGGTTTATACACCACTAATTTCAACACTGTTTATATCAATTGGTGAACGATACACTTTAGTTTTAATTCGGTAACACAAGGAATTTAGATTTTTAATTAGGAATTTTCCCCGATTTGCCGCAAAATTACTCTGCGCACAAAAACATACAACAACTTTTATCAACGACCAATTAACGAATGAATCGAGTTCGAACGATACTATCGATAGAGAGTAGGTATCAATACTGTGCTATGTAAAATGACTACCTGAGTAACCGATACCCCATTTCATTATTTTACTCGATACTTTCCAAAGTACTCGTTGTATCGGATACTCTTCTGACACACGGTGAAGAGAATACAGAGAATACATTCTATCAATTGGGGTGTTCACAGTTCGTTCCAAATTGTGTCTGAAAATGTAGACGTCTACATTTTGAGACATCTTTAGCGTCAAACTGTGAGCACCCCTTTCTAGCAGTCGTCGCGAAATCGTCTCAAAACTTTGCTGGTGTTGCCAGACATTTCTTCTTTGCGTGCATTTTTTATGTCGCCTTTCGATTTTGTTTCTGAAAAATTGTAATTATTTAACTTAATTACCAATTCCTAATATTTGTTTTTTCTTTTCCTTGATTTGTTTCTTTTCATCAGAAATTGCGCTCAAATTAAATGCAAATACAGAAAACGTGTCCAATAAATAAAAAAAATGTGATTAGTATTGCCATAAAGCAACCCTGCTGCGAGGTTGAAAAATGTAGACGCGTAAAAAACATACCTTTGAGTGTGACAAAATGTAGACGGCGTCGTTTTCCAATTTTGTATGGGAAACAACACCACAGATTTTACGGTTAGAAAACGTCTTAAAATGTAGACGTCTACATTTTGAGACACTATTTGGAACGAACTGTGAACACCCCAATTCTTTCTTCTGACACAAAACCATTTTTTTTATTTTTTTATGCTTATCATTGGCAGGCTTTTACAAAATTAATAAAAGCAAGTAGCGATCAGGGCTGCCAACTTCGCTCAAACCGTGCCATTTTTGGCCCTATTTTACTTCAAATGGCACTTAATTTTTCAATCTGGCACAAAGTGCCAAAATGGCACTTTTGAAAAATAATAACACTTCAGTACATCTTTGTGAAATCCTTTGCGTGTACTTCGTTTCCTCAACTAAAGTTTTCTAATCTCTATAGTGCTTACAACTGACTTTTCCCGCTTTCGCATTGGATTTTTGTTTTAGAAATGTTGTTCTAATGTTAAAGCTAAATGGGAAGAATTAAAAAGAATGGTACCTTTTAGCAATTTTATTTTTTTATTTGGCACATTTTGGCACTTTTTAATACTCAATTATCACGTCATAGTTATTAATTTGTAATATGTTTATATAAGTTACTGAATATTTTGGCTTTTGATGATCTGGCATTTAATTATTTGCGATCGAGCAATGAGCGTGGTTTATAACTACATATTTAGAAGAACTATACAAGAACAATGCAAGATTTAAATTCTGTTTCAGAACGTTAAAATCATCGGCTAACACATGAAAAGTTCGAGATTGTGCACTTCAGATGCGCTGAAACAGAGGACTTGTAATAAACTTAGAATTCAGAGGCTGGATTCTGTTACTGAAAACTGTACACACTCATCATATTGCAATTCAGGAAGTGTGAGAATGAGTTTTAGCTGTCAAAATTGTGGACACTTCACCATTTTTCGATTTAGCAAGTGTGAGAATGAGTTTGCCAGCGTTTCGTTGACGAGTGGTAGCTTGGGTGTATTCTCTTGACGGCCACTGTGAATTTTTGATAAGCAAAAACTCATACTGGAAATGCGCTCTCTCATTATAACAAGTTCTCTGATTTACCCTGGGATTCAGTAATTCAGTCTCATCTGAAG